CTCGAGCGCCCAATGGCCAGCGTGGAAAAATACATAAACACCAGTGCTGTCACATCGGGGCCAGCATGACGGAGGCAAGGGGCGGTGCATCGTTGGCATCTTCGTCTTTGCTTTCAGCATTTGTTCATATCCCTTCAGATCTGGGATGCCCGCGTCGGCATCGGAGCAGCGAGCATTCAGCTGTGTACCGCAGACGCTTCCCGTACATATCATCACAGTTATCATCACAGTTATCATCACAGTTTTCTCCATTTATTCCATCTTGGTTTTCTGCGATATCCACACAATGTCTCTCATTGTCTCCGTTCCTCGCCTGGTGGTCTACTTCTTCCCCTCCTACGCCTACCCCGCACGCTGTACACGAACCTCCACATGGTACGACACACGACGACATTTTCGAGCATGATGCCTTCATACCCCTTGTACGTATTTCTGACGCACACCTACAAACATCCATGGCGTGTGCACGTTTCCGGGCATGCACATGTGCATCTGGTCAGTCCGTCGTGTTTCTCAGGAAGCTTCTATGTGACTTGGGGCTCATTGGGAAAAGAGCGAATGTACCGCGTGCGTTCGTGCGCAATTGTATCCCGTGCATGTACAGCACAGAGATCGAAAGCATATTGGTATCTACACTGTGGCATCTATGTGCATCAATGCCGTCATCTGTTTACATGAACGTGCTGGCCGAAACGCAACGCGTCTTTGTAGAGAAGGTCCAAAAACATGAACGCTTTGATCCTTCTATGTGGGAAGTTTTTGCGATTATTACTACGTGTTTGACTTTGTGTAGATTCCGGGCGATGTGGACGTCTGGCCGCCGACAGATCCAGACGGTCAGCATTGCATCCAAAGCCTTCGAGGTTGAGCACACCAAGGCTTTATCCCGTAGAGGAGCAGCCAGTGAGGTGCACGTGGGGTCGTTGGTTTCCCTCCTCCGGTTGCAGTGCGTGTGCGTGCTCAACAAAAACCCCGAGATTCCCCTGAACCACAGCTTCATCTATCAAATGGGCATATCGGGCGCATACCTCGGGCAAGGGTGTCTCCATCGGCGTTCTGGGACGCACGTCGGGGGCACGGCGCGCATGCGTGAGCATCTTACGTGGCTGGCTCGCTGTCCAACACAAAGGTTCCCATCCTGAAGGTCACCGTCGTTATCGATGCGTGTTGGAGCGTGATGGCCGGGCTGTTTTCCTGTTTCTTTTCATGCACGTCGTACGCTCGGACGTCGCGCTGGCAACAGAAACGGCCCTCATTGCCTACTGTAATCCTCCGGCTGATTTCCTACGGGGCCAAGAAAATACCCGCCGTGCACCACGCCCTGGCGGGCGTGTGCGCACAAGGGCGTCGAGATCTGAACGGCGAAAGGCGAGCAGGTTGATTACGTCGGCGGAGTTACGGGAAAAACAGTGGGTAGATGAGTGCATGGCGGCCAGGGTCCGGCGATGTGGGGCCAGAATGGAACACCTCCGTAAGAGACGATCTTTGCAGTGTGTGCTGAAGAGGCCGTTCTCGGTTGTCTATGACATTTTCCGCAGAGACCTTCCAGCGCAGTCTCATGGACCGGTTAACATGTATGAGCGAGGTAGGTTGCCATTGCTTTTACGATGGGCGGCGATACACCCGTCGGAAGTAGTGTGGCAGTCAGCAATAAGGGCACGTGGGGGGAAATATGATTATTTGTACATTATTTGGCTATCGTGTTCATTATTACCACGTCATCATGATTATGTTCGTGTCCGGGCGTTCCTCGGAAAGTTTATGTTGTTGGTCGGAGTGCCTCCCCCAAGGCAATTCTGCATCCAGGTGCCTCGTGGAAATCTCGCCCCAGCCGTAAAGGCGTGGTTTCATGGAGTCTTGCTGGTGCACGCCCAGGAGTGGCCAGCGTGGGCGAAGATGTGCAGGAAGTTCACGTGTTTCGTTGTGCAAGGACCCGTACCCATCAAGCGCGCGCACGTGAATGTCCAAAAATGGGTGCTTGAATTTGACCTGCACCATACCATGCAGCACATCACACATGATGACCTTGTTCAGGCAGCACGTGGTGAGGACATGCACAGGCTAGAGATACACGGGCGCATACCTATACACAAACACTCCATGAACGACACCGCGGTATTGCACACATCATGTACGACGTGGTTGCGTGCGCACGGATTGCCACCATCATTATGTTTGGGCTTACTTCGGGGAGTTGGGGAAACAGTAGCACGGGAACCCCGAAACGAATGGGACGTTTATTCTGAAGATTTGTCTGAAACTTTTAGGGCGCTGGGCAACAACTACGCGTTTACCCCGGAGGACAAGGACCCGAATACCTTGTGGGCAAACTCCCCTACAGGTTTAATGCTTCGCTGGATGGCTCTGTTCGCGCACTCAGGGGGACGATGGGAATTGTCTTTCCAGCCTGCCGACAACGTGGTCCAGTGGTACCGGTTGGTGTTCGATTTCAGTATACCAAAGAGTTTGAGACGGGGGCTTACTAGTATTAGCTTGGGTTCCCTACCGTATTGCTATCCCACCATCAAATTAAAGTGTTGGGATCCAGCGTTGCACTGTCCACCAGCAGGCCGTAAACGGTGTCATAAACCCAAGCATTCACGTATGCGTAACATTGCCTCCTTTTGCAAGTTCCCGTGCCGCCGTCTCTATCGACTTGTCGGACGTGGGGTGGCGTTCGTGACCCGGGCCGTCACTCCTGGATGGGCTTTCACAAACTTGGAGCGTGCCTTCGCGGAAATGCAGGAACGCGTCGAAGTTATAGTTTTACGTGTTGCGCCTGTTCCTCCGGGGAGGCAACTTCGGAAGTGTAGCTGTTGTGGTCGTGACATGCCCCACCCTACGCTGTTAATCGCGGACGCGGCCCAGGCGTACGAAGAGCTTTCTGACTCAGCAATACATTCTTCGATTGACCGGTTGTTCACACACGTTAAGGACATCACGCGGGCTTCGTCGGTGACTGTGCGCCAGGGCCGGAACGTCTGCGTCGAATTCGGGGGCGACATCATCACACCACATCGTGATCGCGTCGTTTTCTTCTTCACTACCCTTCGTCGATGCCTTGTTGGGTTCTTGGGGATGAGGTTCTACCGGCTGGGAAATGTCTTCCTTCGTCAATTGAGAGGAATACCCATTGGGGGACCCCTGTCCGGCACGATTCTCGACGTAGTCCTCATGCGTTGTGAATACGAACCAGACGTTCGATGGCGACGTCGTGTCTGTTCGATTGCTATGGGGCGGTATGTGGACGACCTTATTGCTCTCTCAATGGATAGGTGCCGCACTTGCGTGGAATATTACGTAAAGGAGGTGTACAGTGGCGTCGTCGATATCCAAACCGACAACGATTTCGAAGTATTACGTGAAGGGGTTGTTTGCCAGAAGTTTTTAGATTTCTATGTGCATTTCTCTATCCATGGGTTCAGAGTTGAAGTTCGTCATAAAAATTAAGAGTTTGCTATCTCAGGGGACATCGCAAAAATTGGCAAACGCACTCTTTTACCTTATCTTGGGTCGTTTGGGCGACAACTTCTCGCTTCTCTTCGTTCTGAACTTCTCGGGAGGCTACACCGCTGGAGGGTTCTTGGAGTAGACAGGCCGAACCTAATCACCCTTGTCGTCGTGGACATGGTTTGCTTTCTGAGGTTGGGGTACAGTTTCTCACACCTCAAAAAGGTATGGAAGAACATTTTCCCACCGTCGGTCGAGTCAGACATTGTCCACGAGTGCGTGCGCATTGTGAGATACACGTGTTCCTGGCTGGTTGTTTCTGATGATGACGTTTTGGATCGGTTTCGCTGTCTTTGTGCTCAAGTGGGTGATCTTGGCATTCCCTTCGGCTATCCTAACTGGTTTGCCCACCAGCCAGTGATGAAGGGCGGCTTCCAGTTCGGAGGCAAGGGCCGCGGCTACGGCAACGGGGGGTCGTTCGGAGGGAAAGGATGGGGAAACCAGCAGATGCAGTGTCCGCCACAGGCGTCTGGCTTGAACGCCCTTTCCGGCCCAACGCAGCAGCTTGGGGAGTGCGTCTCGGCGGCGCAGGGTCTGGCGCAGTTCGCCCAGCTGGGGGCCGTGCTGAACCAGCAACAGCAGCAACCGCAGGCCAGCTCCAGCGACTCCGCCCGGGCGACCGAGTTGGCCGGGGCTCTCTGTTCCGTGCTTAGCCGTGGTCGTGGCTCCGGGGGGCCGGACAGCAGGCTCACCGCCTCCGTGAAGCGTCTGTCTAACCTGGCCGGGCTCGAGGACGACCCGGCCGACTTGGACGTCCGCATCTCCGAGCTCCCCAGCTTCCAGAAACTCCGCCAGCAGATGGAGGGGGTCAACGGCGAGCTAGCCGGGCAGCGAGCGGAACTTGCGGCGCAGCGCTCCGAGCTGTCGTCCATCAAGTCCGCCGTCGTGGACACGGCCTCTGGCATGCAGGAGATGAAGGCCATGATGGCCGAGTGCCTCCGGGGCCGCGAGGCGCCGCGGGGAGGCCCGCCACCGAGGGGCCCGGGTCCGGGCATGCTCGGGATCCAGCCGCAGGACCCCCCGGCAGCGGCTGCGGTCCGCGTGCCCATGCTGCAGAAGCACGTCAGCCAGGACATCCACGATAACATGTTGCCAGTACTCGGGATCGGCACCACGAGGCGGGACATGGTGGAGCTCCGGGCCACCATGGACGAGGGCAACATCACCTTCGAGGCCTGGTGGGCGGCCGTGGGCAAGTGCAAGGGCATCGCACTCTGGAAGGGGAAGATCGAGACCCTCAGCGGCGGCAGCCACGCAGTCAACGGCTTGACTATCGAGACGGTTGGGCAGGCCGTTTTCCGCCTCGTCGACTCGGACGGGGAGTGGAGCCCGGTGCCTCTCCAGCCGTCCCCCTGAGTCACCCAAGAGCGTGCGTGCAGACCCCGGTGGGGCAAGAGCTGGGGCTATGGCTGTATCTTGTCGGGTGTTTGCAAGATTAGCATGGTGCTCACAGTTCTGTGGTGCGTGTTGCAACTCTGGTGCTTCATACTCTACGTCCGAACGGAGTCGGAAGCGATTGCCACGTCAGCGCGGGTTTTCGCCGAGCAGTGGCTGCCCTGGATCGTGCCATATGGGATGGCGCGGCTTCTGGGGTCGTTCGTGCCAGCAGCCGCTACGGGATCCCAGTACAGCGAGATCCCGATGTCTAGCCAGAATGCCCTCGAGGTGACCTTCGGTGAGAGCACTTTGTCGAATCAGACTGCCCCTGAGACGGTTTTCTTCCCTCCTCCCGCCGCCCCTGCTCCCCGCGCCCCTTCCCCTCGCTCCTCCACCCCGCCTCCCCAGGGAAGTGCGTACTCAGTGGTCCAATCGACAGTGTGGAATGGACTGTGTCACCTAGCGTGTGACCCGAGGGTCATCGAGCAATTCGGGGTGGCAGGGCCGGCTGTGCTCATGCTATCAATCTTCGTGCGCAAACTCCAGGCCCGCGGGGCATGAGCCGGCAGACGGCCAGCAGGTGAACGCCATCGCTTTGGCGTGAGGTACTGGCAATGCAGGGCTCACCCACGTCTTTTCAAGGGTTTTTCGGTTTTTGGGCTTCCCCAGAGAAAAGCGAGCAACCGATGGCGGTTGCCGTGTGTACGCCTATGCATGTACCTCTCCCTTTCCCTCCCCCTCGTGGCCTCCTCCCCTCTCCTGTGTGACGCTGTGCGCAAGACCGGAGTGATACGTTTGGGCCGAAATCCGTATCATCGGCCGGCTGGGAGGGCATGTGCAGTGAAGCGACGTGCACCCTGCATGCACCCGTCTTCGCCTCTTCCCTCGTTTATCCCCGTCGCGAGCGTTTTGTCGCAGAAGCGCTGGCTCGAGTAACAGTTGTGGCAAGGCGTGTTCAAAGACTAGTCACTCGAGCGCCCAATGGCCAGCGTGGAAAAATACATAAACACCAGTGCTGTCACATCGGGGCCAGCATGACGGAGGCAAGGGGCGGTGCATCGTTGGCATCTTCGTCTTTGCTTTCAGCATTTGTTCATATCCCTGCAGATCTGGGGGAGAGAGAAAACGACGCCACACCCTGCGGCACCTCCAACCCATTCCCTCCCCATCAGGGTTACTCGGGGGTGGGTGGTCGGCAAGGGCCCCCCGAGGCGAAAGGAGCAACGCGGGAACGCTTCGTCGACCTGTCGCTGCCCGAGGGCGACACCTCAATCCGCAGACCTTCTTCGGTGACTCCAAGACGATGGCCGCGGAGACGTCGGTGTGCACCGCGAGGCCAGAGCAGCACCGACAGGGGAGGTGAGGCCCTCGGACGGCCGAGCTCTGGCGTCCTGGACAGGGCGTGGCGCTCGCTCCGGGCAAGCCGAGGGAAAAGTCTGTGGGCCTCGCCCCAGAGTCCAGAGTCGTGGTCGGCCTCTGCTCTTCACGGCCCTGAGGGCGAGGCCGTGGGCGTGGCAGGGGACGATGGGACCGGCGCTCGTGCGCGCCGGCAGCGACGCTGCGTGTAGCGGCGCTGCTACTGCGCTCGTGGGAATGGGGCAGGTGGCAAGGGAGCGGCATCAGCTCGGCGGGGCAGGGGCCAGCGCGGCAGGGATCGCATACACCCGACGTCACATTCTTTTCACAACGTCGACCCGAAAGGTCTCGACCCATTCCCCAGAACAGGTCTTTCATGCCGAGTCCATTGTGGACGGCGTCTGGGGGGCCGGCGAGGGCCCCCAGAGGCCGAAAATACCGACAAACCTCGCGTCGTGGACTTTTCGCGACTCGAAGGAGTCTGGGGTCGGAGTGCGCCCGTGGCGGCCACGGGGCGAGCGGCCGCTGGCTGTGGCGCCGCACGGCGCGGGGCGCCAACAGCGCCGCACGGCGCGGAGCGCCGCGTGCGGGAGCGGGGCGGGGGCGTGCTGCGCGCGGTGCGCGGCCGAGCGGGGCGGCGCAGAGCCTCGACGCCAGGGGCGGCCTGCGGCAGGGCACCGTCGAGTTCGGTTGGGGATAGGCACAAGGAGAAGCGGCACCAGCACCGACAGGGACCACCAGCGCGAGGAACCAGAGGTGGTCCCCCTGGTAGTGTGGTCCCCCCTTTTCGCTCGAGACGTCCCCTAGCCCCCAATTCGGGAAGGCATCGTGGACCTCCTCGCTGGAGGTGGCCCCCTGGTGGTCTTGGTGTCGATTCTCCTACCCCCGATGGGGAAGGCACGCGAGAGTTGGCGGCAAACCCAGGGGAGAAGTCAGAAGACTGAGAGGGGCGGGCCATCTCGAAGGTCTTCTGAAATATTGCCTCAGCCTTCTCCAGAAAGACGCACAACACTTTTCAGAAAACCCAAAAAAGATTCTGAGAGGCCCCACAGCCGTCAGAAACGTCCGCTCCTGTTCACTTCCCTTTTTCTGGGTGCGCCGCCGAGATAGGACACAATGGAACGCACAATGAGACATACGGATCTCAGGGAATGGGGGGACACGCGCGGGGGCGAAGAGACATGCACACAGCGGGGCCGTTTTGGGCCAAGGGGGCCCCGAGGGTGTACGCAAGATGCGCCTTTATTCACCCTACTCGTTTGAGACGCAGGAAGACTTACTAGCATACTAGCGCGATGTGTCGCCCTCGGAAGCGAACGCCCGACCCGAGTGATGTGCTGGCCCGGGAGTCTTGGATACCGTCGCTCTACAGCTCGGCGCAACCTGGGCGAACGTCACCTCCAGGCTCCCAAATGGCATGGGACGGAACTCGCTCGCCTCCAAATACATGCAACAACGGTCGCTCACATACTAGCACCATGCGTCCTCCTTGCGAGGCGGCAGTCGCACATGTGGCGGGGCGGCGTGTTGTGGAAGCAGCGTTCACCACGGGCCCCGCCGCCGAAACCAGGCAACGTAGATATCTTTCATGGCCTCGGGCATGGAGCAAGAAGGGGGGCGGAAGGACGGAAAAGGAGGAATGGCGGGATGCAAATGGGAGGATAAGTCCAGATGGGGAGAGAGGCGCAACCGAGGTACAAATTGTACCTACGCCCCACGGAGAAGGTACAATTTGTACCGACGCCACGCAGACAAGGTAATAATTGTACTTTTGACAACGTCCGCGACATGTGCGAGGATGTTAACGGGGGGGGAGAAGGTACAATTTGTACTTGCAACCCGCAGAGAGGGTACACATTGTACCCCAACAAAACGGTACCGGATACTCATCCCCCCATGTCCTGATCCCCCCATCGCCATCGGGAGGAGGAACTGGAGGCGTCCATGCAGTGGGCACGCCTGGATGTTTGGGGGCAGCGTCTTGAAGATATCGTAAATCTGATCCTTGAAGCCGCGCGACAACATCTCGTCGGCCTCGGAGGCGGGCGCCCCAACCCGAAGGCTCATTTTTGCAACGTGGATGTAGTGGCAAATGGCTGAAACTGATGGATGTGCACCAACAGTTCAAAATAAGTTCGCTTAGAACTCGCCAGGGAAATTCGGATACATTTCAAACAAATCAAAACAACAGGACCGAATCTGATCCGCCCGCCGCCTGTTCCTCAAGGCCCCCGGCGCGCGGCATAAGGGCCCACGCTTGCACTGCGGTAGACAAGCTGGCAGGCTCGCAACACAGTCGCGTTCGGTTTCGCCGCCTCCTCTGCAGGCACGCAGAATGGGCGCGAGCTGGTCGCAAAGTCGGCGCCGGGGCGGCCCAGGGAACGGGCGCCGCCAGGGCGAAGCGGCGGAGATATCCAAATCGGCATCGTGTTTTCCAGCTTCTTCCAACGGGTTATCTGAACATCCTGGGCAATTTGTGCGCGGAAATCTCGGTGGCGCCTGGACGAAAATCATCATTACATTCACGAATTAACACCCAACCCCGCCTCGCCCTCGCCCCCCCACCGGCCCCGGGCCTAGCTGAAAACCAAAATGCTGCCACGCCCCCGTCTACCCCGCATCTCTCGCGTCCGTCGTTGTCCCTGCCCTGCTTCCCTACTCCCACGGTTACCCGAATGTTTATCTTTCAGGCATGGAGGCGGGCGAGGCCTGCCTCCGCAGCTCGATTTGTTTAATATAACAAAAAACGAACTACAAACCCCGCGCGCGGCGACCGTGGTGCACCTCGCGTTCGCATTGGCCCCCGGGGGCTAGCTGGCGGATGGCGACCGTTCCCAAACGATGCTGAATCACAAATACCGCAATTGTACCTGGCAGCGTCTCTTCGGAACCAAAACCCCACCCCCACCCCCTTTTCTATCATTATTCACGCTCCCCCCCGGGAGCAGCGACAGAGGCTCCCCTTAGCCCCCCCTCTTCATTCGCCCCCATACTAGTCTCGGAACGCGCTGTGACCGAGACTGGGGAGCGGACCTGGCCGCGCCGACAAAAACGCACCCGCGGGCAAGACGGCGCAGATCAATTGCAATTCCCGCCGGGGAAGACGAAAACGACGACGACGGCGGCGACTGGCGACGGCGACAGAAGCAGCGGCGATGGCGGCGACGACGGCGGCGACGGCAACGGCGATGGCAACGCCCCGCGGCTTCCGGCGGCGCGGCCCCGGACGCCCCCAGAGGTGCCCAGAAGCCCCCAAGGGCCCCTGGGGGCCCGCAGAAGGTGAGAGAGAAAGGCACGAAACTCCAGCAGATAACCACATTTTAGGTATTCGTGTTTTTTCTCCCTCTCTCTCTCTGTCTCAGTCTCTGTCTCGCGCTCTCTCTCTCTCTCTCTCTCTCTTTCTCTCTCTCTATAATGTGTATATATACATGTATATAAAAATGTATATGTATATAGATATATATATATATATACACACCCGTATATATATATATATATATATATACATACATATATATACACACAAAAAACCTTTTTGATCCTCACCGGCCGACGACAGGACTCATCAAATGATAAAAGGTGAAGGAGGAGCACTGGGAGGAAGAGGAGGGAGAGGGGGAGGAGGACAAATAGGTCGATCCTGCCAAATCAAAGGTACACTCGTGTCCCTTCATGCGCTCGCGGTATCACCGGCCAGGTTGCCCTCGGAAGACTCCTGTGTCCTCCCAGTTGTCTTTTCGCCCAATCATATCCGACTGTATTTGTCTCGTTTTCTGCGCCTCCCGAGTCCACCTCCCCTATACGCCATGCGGCGGCGGGGCCCGCCATGGCATGACCCTAAGCCGCTGGAGACGCGCCCAGCCAAAACGCGGAGGGGGCCTACACTTCCGACGCTGTGTCTTCTCGATGGTTGAGCTGTCCGCAATGTTCCCGACTTAATGGCTGTTTCTGGTCTCTGAAGCCACCCAACATAGTACCCCAACACTAAATGTTTGTCCCAGTGCATTTGTCCGGACCTCAGAAGAGGGCCCGCATCGGGAAACCATCCAAGACGCCCCGACTCCCAAAATACCCCTGACACAGCCCACGAGGACTTCAAACAACTTTCCGACAACAGAGTACTCACTGCGTGGAGCTCCCGATATGTGCATCTCATGTTTATGTCATGCCATAGTGGGCGTCTGTTCATGAGCGCTTGACCATAATAGCGCGTCCGCATGGGCGACAGGGCCCTGAAAATGTGCTCCAGGTCCTCCTATTCCTGCAGTCTCCTCCGTGCGTCCCAAAGGTACGTGCCGGAACACGACCCAAGGGACCAGCACGCCTCGACTCTTCCTCCGTGCGTCCCAGAGGGTACGTGCCGGAGCACGACCCAAGGGAGCAACACGCCTCGACTCATTCCTCCGTGCGTCCCAGAGGGTACGTGCCGGAGCACGACCCAGGGGAGCAGCACGCCTCGACTCCTTCCTCCGTGCGTCCCAGAATGTACGTGCCGGAGCCGACCCAAGGGACCAGCACGCCTCGATTCCTTCCTCCGTGCGTCCCAAAGGGTACGTGCCGGAGCACGACCCAAGGGACCACCACGCCTCGATTCCTTCCTCCGTGCGTCCCAGAAGGTACGTGCGGGAGCACGACCCAAAGGAGCAGCACGCCTCATCCCCTTCCTCGCAGCATGACAACGAACAAACCGCCCGAGACATCCCCGCAAAATGGCCGCGAACGGGCCCGTGTCCTGCCCCCCGGCGGCTCTCCTTAGGGGTGCTGAAACCAGCGCCCCGCCTGAGACATCCTCACAATCTGCTCTGAAAGCCAAGCATGTTGGGCATGAGAACGAGCAAACCGCCTGAGACATCCCCACAAACTGGCCGCAAACGGGCCCGTGAAAACACCCCTGGCGGCTCCCCTGGGGGGTGCTGAAACCAGCACCGCCCCGCCTGAGACATCCTCAAAATCTGCTCTGAAAGCAAAGGATGGTGGGCATGAAAACAAGCAAACCGCCTGACACATCCCCACAAACTGGCCGCGAACGGGCCCGTGAAAACACCCCTGGCGGCTCCCCTCAGGGGTGCTGAAACCAGCGCCCCGCCTAAGACATCCTCACAATTTGCTCTGAAAGCAAAGCATGTTGGGCATGACAACGAGCAAACCGCCTGAGACATCCCCACAAACTGGCCGCGAGCAGGCCAGTGAAAACACCCCTGGCGGCTCCCCTTGCGAGTCTGAGTATGACTAGGTCTGAGCATGAATAGGTCTCAGTCCGTGCGTTGAGCAACTCAGACTATGAGAAGGTCTGAGTATCTGTAGGTCTGAGTATGAGGAAGTCTGTGTATGAGCAGGTCTTGGAACGAGTCTGGGTATGAGTAAGTCTGGGTATGAAGGAGTCCCAGCATGAGTGAGTCTGAGTATGAGTAGGCCTGCATGTTGTGTGTTGAGTAAGTCAGACCATGAAAGCGGTATGAGTATGAGTAGGTCTGAGTATGAGTAAGTCTGTGTATGAGTAGGTGTGTTATCTCTGGAGTCGGCGACGTCCGAGTAATTCGCCGGCCCAACGGGCCAGAGGCGTGCTAAGATCTCCGGTAACTGGTAAACAATATTTCTGGTTCGCGCGCGCGGGGCGGCCCCTGGGGGTCCCTGGATCAAAAGTACCCCGGGCGGAGCCCGGGACACTCCCCCAGATCCTCCAGGATCGCCCCAAGAGGGCCCCAAGAACGCCCCCAACACGGTCCAAGAGAGGTCCGAGACAACCGAAGATCGCTCCACGACGCCCAAGATGGCCTCCAGACGGCCCAAGACGTCTCCAAGATGACCCAACAAGCCTCCAAGATGCCCCAAGAGGCCTCCAGGAGCACTCGCAAGAGGGCCCCAAAAGGCAAAAATCAATGTTTTTTTCTTAGGTTTTGGACAGATTTGGGCGTTTCAACCTTTTCGGTTCCCCGACGCCCCTAAACGGCTCAAGAGGCCTCCAAGATCGCCCGAAGAGGGCCCAAGAAGCCCCCAAGAGGGCTCCAAGACGGCCCAAGACGGCTCCAAGACGGCCCCAGAGGCCTCCAAGACGGCCCAAGAGGGTCCCAAGAACGCCCTCAACACTGTCCAAGAGAGGTCCGAGACGCCCGAAGATCGCTCCACGACGCCCAAGATGGCCTCCGGACGGCCCAAGACGTCTCCAAGATGGCTCAAGAAGCCTCCAAGATGCCCCAAGAGACCTCCAAGAGAACTCCTAAGAGGGCCCCAAGAAGCAAAACACTGTGCTTTTCCTTTGGTTTTGGACAGATTTGGGCGTTTTAACATCTTCGGTTCCCCGACGCCCCTAAACGGCTCAAGAGGCCTCCAAGATCGCCCCAAGAGGGCCCAAGAGGCCCCCAAGAGGGCCCCAAGACGGCCCAAGACGGCTCCAAGACGGCCCCAGAGGCCTCCAGGACGGCCCAAGAGGGCCCCAAGAACGCCCCCAACACGGTCCAAGAGAGGTCCGAGACGCCCGAATATCGCTCCACGACGCCCAAGATGGCCTCCAGACGGCCCAAGACGTCTCCAAGATGACCCAAGAAGCCTCCAAGATCCCCAGGAGGTCTCCAAGTGCATTCCCAAGAGGGCCCCAAGAGGCAAACAAACAATGCTTTTCCATGGGTTTTGGACAGATTTGGGCGTTTCAACCTTTTCGGTTCCCCGACGCCCCTAAACGGCTCAAGAGGCCTCCAAGATCGGCCCAAGAGGCCCCCAAGAGGGCTCCAAGACGGCCCAAGACGGCTCCAAGACGGCCCAAGAGGCCTCCAAGACGGCCCAAGAGGGCCCCAAGAACGCTTCAAGAACGCCCCAAGAGGGGGTTCACGAAACAGAATTTCGAGCTCTCGGCCCTTAGAGGCCCCGGGAGGCCCCAAGAGCCCCCCAAGACGCCGCCAAGGAGCCCCAAGAGACCCCCAAGAGGCCCCCAAGAGGTCCCTAGGAGCCCCAAAGAGGCCCCCAAGAGGCTTCAAAGAGGCCCCATAGAGCGCTCGAGGGCCGGCGGAATGAGCGAAGCGATTAAATAACAAAAACCCATCTTTGGATATGGGGAAAAATGAAGGGACTCCGAGACGCATCCAAGAGCCTTCTGTTTTTTTCTGTTCGCCCCATTCCTCATTATCCTCCTCCTCATTCCCCTCCTCCATCTCCTCCCATCCGTCTGTTCCTCCTCCTTTCTCCTCCCTCTTCCCTTTTCCCCCCCCCTCCCCCTTTTCCCTCCCCTTCCTCCTCCTCCTCCTCGTCCTCGTCCTCCTCCTCCCCCTCTCCTCCTCCTCCTCCTCCTCCTCCTCGTCCTCCTGTTCCTCCGATATATCTTTCATATCTCCATCGAAATTCGATATTTTACCCTGCACTTTTTTCCACCCTTCCACACCCCTGGTCAGGGCAACTCGTTGGGGCATCGATTTTGGATGGGCTGGTGGGCTTTCGCGAAAATTCCGAACCACTCTGGACAAAATCAAAAGATGTCTAACAATTCCTGAACACCCTGCAAGGATAACGGAGGGCTCCTTAGTTTTCCTGGGGTGTCCTGCAGACTCGTTGGAACTCGCGCGGGTTCCTCAATAATTTTTCTGGTTGCCCGACGGTTCCGAAAGATTTCCTGAAACAAAATGCGGAAGGAGTCCCCCCGTTTGCCTGGAGGGTCCTGGGTGGGCTCCAATTTTTTTCTGGACGATTGGTTGGAGATCCCACATGGGTTCCCCTGAAGGTCACTGATGGCTTCTGAACGATGCTTGAAATGTCCGACCGTTCTCGAAGGTTCCTCAAACATTATGAGGATTCGGGAGGATTCCGAAGATTTTCCCAAAACTGCCCATCAGAATCCCTGACAGATTCTGAAGGATGTCTGGGTTCTCGTGAGATTCTTCGGCTTCCGAAAGTTTCCTGCAGATCCCGCTCAATTCTTAGAATTCCTAAATATTGTTGGTGATTCCTTGAGAATGCCGGCATGGTTCCTAGAATTCTTGCAGGTGTCCTCAAAGATTCCTCAGGAGGCAGGACGAAATCTTGAATTCCCGAAAACCCGCGGGGGTCCAGCAAATTCCTGAAAGGTTCCGGGGGGGTCCTCTAGATTCCCGAGGGTGGATTCCTGAGGACTCATGCGGATTGCTGAAGGGCCCCAAAAGACTCCGGAAGATACCTGAAAGAGTGCTGGACGATTCCTGAGGGTGCGTGGGAGGATTCCTGAAGGACTTCGAAACAAATCCCACGGGTTCCCGAAGATTCCTGGCGCTCCTGGAGATGCCGAAAAATCCACGCCTGGGGATTCTTTCGGATTCCTTCCGGTGTGGCTAGACCCCGAATGGTGTCCTGCATATTCGCAAAGATCCCTGCGGATCTCTCACATATCCTGAAGATGCCACTGAGCCCCAGAAAGATTTCTGACATATTCCTGCGATTCCTTGCGATCCAGTAGGAATCCCCGTAGGAATCCCATCGATTTCTCACGGTTCTTACAGAAAGAATGCAGAACGGATCCCTGCTGATTCCTGCCGCGTCGGCAAAGATCCGCGAAGGTTTCCTCCTGATTATTCTGGATCCCCACGCAATCCTGTAGGATTCCCCCGGGTCCGTATGCGATTCCTGACGATTCCGAAGTTTCGAAACGATTCGATGATTCCCGAGCATCCATGCGAACTCCTGTCGGCCCCCGAGGATTCCCAGGCAAGTTCCGACTGGTTCCTGAACGAGGGCCCCTGAAGATTGCTCGTGGCTCTCATGGGAAATGTGTGATTCGGGCTTCTTCGGACCCTCTTAGACTCTTAGAAGACCTGCTAGAGCCGTCTCGGGGGCGGCCTAAATGCTGAGCGCCTTGAACGAACGTGGGTTGGAGATGGAAGACTCGACATTTCCGCGTCGTCGAGTAATGGAAAAGTGGAGTTTCCAAGGGGCGCGCTCTGACAACCGAGCCCTTGAGGGGCATGTGGATTTTCACTGCCACAATGATTTCGCCGCCGCTTTTCCGTTATTCCTACCCGTCGGGCCCTCAACCGTTACCGCTCCATTTTCTTATCTCGCTGGGACCTCACCCGAGCCCGCCGGGATCTGACCGCGTCGGCCCAGAGCGGCCGGGGCCGGAGGTCCTGGGCCCGAGGCGCGCGGGCCTGGTTCAACGCGCAAATCCCACGGCCTAAAAACCCTGCGGCTTGGCCAAAGGAGGCCCAGGCGCCTCCAAATTTTATTGCAGGGTCCAGGCCTCAGACTCGGGCGCCACCGCCAAGCCCGGCACCCAAAACCGTAAGCCCCGGGCCCTGACACTTGAACGCCAACTGGCCCGAAACCGCAAGCCCCGGCAGGACAGTGACGCCGCGGGGGCCAAAGACCAAAGCCCCCGGCCCTCGGCCTTAGCCTTGGGGCCTGCCCCCGAGAACCCACCTGCCCCCGAAACTGCAGACCCCAAACAATGCGCCTTAGGCCCTGCGCCTCAGACGCCGAGCCCGAAGCCCCGCCCCCGAAGCCCTCGGCCTCGCCCTTCGGCCGTGCAACTCCAAACGCCAGGCCCTCAGCCCCGCGCGCCAGGCCCCGTGCCCACGTCTGAGGTGGCAAGCCTCGGAACCGCAGATCTGGCCGAAGGCCTTGGGCAGGAAGTCCAGGGCCCCGGAGGCCAGGGCTCCAGGCCAGGGCCTGATAGTGTCTGAATGAAGCCGAGCTGCAGAAGGCCCCAGGGCGGGGGCCTCACGACGCAGGACGCGACCCACGGCCCCGGGCCTCCCGGGCTGGATGGAAGGGTCTCGGGTCTCAGATCTCGACCGACTGAGGGGGCGTGCGAGATCCGAGCCCGAGAGCGCGGAGAGCTGGGCCCATGCACCTGTTGGCAGGTCCTGTGCACTGTTTGTAAGATCCTGTCTACTTTTGGGAGCTCCTGTTTATTACTGTCCGGGAGGACCGAGCTACTGATTGGGTGGTCCCATTTCGTCTGTGAGAGGTCCTGCTTACTTGTTTTAGTCGTGTCTGTTTAATGGGTCTTGTTGTCGTTGGGAGGCAACCCCATCCGAGACAAGCGGCACTGAAGGCAGAGACCGTCAGAGACCGTCAGGGATACGCGTTCGCGACAGAGGCACCGCTGTCAGATCGCTCTGGAGGTATCCGAGAGAGCCCCGAAGACCTGAGACGACTGTCCTGCCACGGAGCCTCTGCCACAAAGATCTTTCGTTGGGAGAGGGGGCAGGTAGGAAAGAAGGCGATTGCAAGAGCGATGCGTTTCCTCTCCGCGAAGCAATGGCACCTCGAAGGTTCAGCTAACGGCGGACAGCCGCGGCGAAGGAACGGCCACCGCCACAGGCACATGACCTCCTTCAGGCCCTATATGGTTGATTTTGTCCTCTTCCTCTCCCTCTCCCTCCCTCTCCTTCCCCCTCTCTCTCACTCACGCTCTCTCTCTCTCTCTCTCGCTCTCTCTCTCAGCATCGCTGTTCTTAGCAAGTGTTTCCTCCTCATCGCCATCGTCATCCCCCCGCCCTGGCGCTTCCCCCCCCCTCCCCTCACGACCCCACCCCACCTTCCCTGGGACGCCTCGTCAAGGACGAAAGTGATGAGCTCGTCGACTCGCAGGTGCCGCTTCCTGGCTGGCTCCATGGCTCCTCCATCCTTACGTAATGATCACGCGTGAAAGGTTGATCCAGACGGCATGTCGAACATGCTGAGGTTCATGCAGAGTGAACAAGAGACGACGCAACACAAAAACGGACGGGACGAGACGGACAAAAAACTGAACCTACATCCTGAGCCCACATCAACAATACCTCTATCGACGACTGAGGCCCAGCCTGGATACCGAATACGCCAATCTCATCTCGAGCGTGGGCGACCCCTTTGGTGGCGAGGCAGGGCTACCCCTGCCACGCCCTGAAAGCGTGGGACGCACAGAGCCCGCACCCCCTGCGCACCCCCGCTGGTGGCGAGGAAGTGCCAATCCTGCCACGCTCTGTGAGCGTGGGACGAGCAGAAATCGCACCCCCCGCGCACTCTCCCTCTGGTGGCCCCTGCGAGCGTGGGACGCATGAAGACAGAACCTCGTGCGTGACCCGTCTTGTGGCGAGGAAGTGCCAACCCTGCCATGCCCTGGGAGCGTGGGGCACATACAGACCGCGCACCCTCTGGCGGCGAGGAGGTGCCAATGGCTGCGGTTTGGGAGCGTGGGGCGAATACATAGAGACCGCAACCCCCGCAAACCCGCTCTGGTGACGAGGAAATGTCACCCCCGTCACGCCCTGGACAGTGGGACGCGCAGATCGCACCCCCCTGTGCGCCTGCGCACCTCTTCTGGTGCTTGTGTACGGGTACGAGTGCGTGCATGGTGTATATGTGAATGCATGTGCACATTCACGCGCATTGGTATCCAACCAGCCCTCTGGGCGTAGGTGGTTTAGAGAGTTCCCTTTTCCACCCCTCCTTCTTCCACTTCGGGGAGGGGTTTACCCCTCCCCCTACCCCCTCCCCTGGACCTGGACGGGGGGCGCCGCGAGCGGTCCGAGCGTCCAAGATGGCCCAAGACGGCTCCAAGAGCGCCTCGGAGAGCCCAAGATGAGCTCCAAGATGGCTCAAGATAACTGAAGATGCCTCAAGATGGCTCCGAAAATGCTCCAAGATGCCCCAAGACCGCCCCAAGACGGCTCCAAGAGGCCAAATAGCTTTCCAAGGAGGCCTCCAAGAGGCAGAAGTCCTTCAATAACCTATGGAAAACCACTGATTTGTGCTTTCTCGCCGATTCGCTTCCGATGGCCATCCGAGGCCCAAGATGGCTCCAAAATGGCTCAAGAGAGCCCCAAGAGGGGCCCAAGAGAGCCCCAAGACGGCCCCAAGAGCGCCCAAGAGCGCTTCAAAATGAGCCCAAGAGGCGATTATTGGAACTTCCGAGGGGGGTCGCAATTGAAACTCTCATCCTTTTTGATCGATCTCCTCCAAGATGGCCCCAAGAGCGCTCCCAAGGCTCCCAAGAGCGCCCCAAGAAGGCCCCAATAGGCGGCCCCAAGAGGCCCCCTAGAGGCTCCCAAGAGGCCCCCAAGAGACCCCCAAAATGCCCCAAGAGGCTCCCCGAGGCATCCAAGACGCTCCAAGACGCCTCCGGGACCGCCAAGAGGCTCCCAAGACGCTTTAAGAAGCCTTTAGGACGCTCGCAAGAGACATCCGAAGAGACTCCGAGAGGCATCCAATAGGCCTCTGGCCATTCTGCTCGCCCTTCTCCGCCTCCTCCTCCTCCTGACGTTTCTGACGTTTCTCGCTACACAGCGTCTCCTCCTCCTCCTCCTCATTCTCCTCCTGCTCCTCCTGCTCCTCCTCCTCCTCCTCCTTATCCGTCTATTCCTCCTCCTCCTCCCTCCTCCCTCCCCCCGCTCCCCCTCCTCCTCCTTCAATTTCTCCTCCTCCTCATCCTCCTCCGATTCCTCTTCCATCCTCGCCGTCTTGGATAAGACGGGTTTCCCAGCCCTTGGTTACTCTGTGTGCTCCCTCACTTTCCTGATCACCTCCATTCGCCTGGGCATTCGCTGGCCGAGAACCAGCAGCAACAGCAGCAGAAGCAGTACCAGCAGGAGCAAGAACACCATCAACAACACATGCAACCTTCGCCACAAAAGATCTCCCGAATCACCGTTGTTACCCGCTCGGTTTTACTATGTGCGTCTCTTCTTCCCTTCTTCCGTCAGCTGCCCTACGCATCGTTTGTGGATGGGCTGGTGGGGATACGCGTAGCGTCTAGAATGTGTATGTATGTGTGTGCTGTATGTGCTGTATGCGCGCGGAGTAAGAATGTGTCGCGGGTGGGGATCGGCAAACAACGAAAACAACAGAAACCGGTCTAGGGCGTGGAGAACTATAGCACGAAGCAACTCTAAACACTTATCCGGGCGAAAGACACACCAATATGCAAATACAAATGCCGCGATGCAAGTGGGACGAAGGGGATCCCTTTGCGGGACCACGAAACGTGTACGCGGGTGCCGAAATGAGCGGGCAGCCGCATCTGGACGCCCCCACCGCGGGCTTAGGTGGAGCTCAACATGGGGCCACGCAGCGTGTGAGGGGAGCGAGGAAAGTGAAGGGATCACGAAACGTGTGATGGGCGCGCCGACGTGGGCGGGAACCGCATGTGGACGCATACGCTGGGGCCTTGAATAGAGCTCTGTGGGGCCACGAAACGTGTGAGGGTGCGCTAGAGTTAGAGAGGAGCCGCATGTGGACACACCCACTGGGGCCGTAGGTGGAGCTCCCTGATGGGCCACGAAATCAACGTTTGAGGGATGTGCCGAAATCGGCGGGGAACCGCAAGCTATGTCCCCCCCCGGGGTTTCCGTGGAACTCTCTGACGCGAAACGTGTGAAAGGTGCGGAGACTTCAGATGGGGGACGCTGTATGCCCCCCGCCTGGTGGCTTCAGCGGAGCTCCCTATGGGGGGGCAGGAAAGGAAGGGAGGGACGGGGCAGCGGGAGGTGAGGACGCAGGACGCTGCGGATTCAAAAAGAAGACCCAATACTACAGAATTATCGGAACACCTATGCATGTATACATATATATATATATATATATATACATACATATACATATATATAAACACATACGTACGTACATACAGACAACCATCCACCCATCCATCCATCCATCCATCCATCCATCCATTCATCCATCCATACATGCATGCATACACACATCGCACACATCCATCCACCCAGCCATCCATACATACATACTAGAACCGTCTCGCGCGCTCAAGTTCTAGTCCATGCTGGGAGGGCGCTGGAAGATCTTGGACAGCGCTATCAAGCACAGGCGCGTGACATAGTCGTGCCTCCTGAGGGCCTCTTGGGGACCCCTTGGATCTTCGTGGGGGCATCTGAAGGGCCTCTGGGGGGTTCCCCGTGCTTCCTCAATTTGCTGTTGGAGGCACCTCTTAGGTGCTTCTTGGCGGGGGCCTCTTGGGGCTTCTTGGGGTCCCTTGGGAGCATGAAAGCGATGTTCTGCTATCTGAAGCCGTCATTGGCCGTCTTGGCTGCGTGGAGGCCCGACTTGAGGGCGCCTGGGATGCGATCTCGGGGCCCTCTTGGAGGGCTCTTCGGCTATCGTGAAGCGGTCTTGGGGGCCTCTTGGGTCGTCTTGGAACGTCGGGATGCCAAAAAAACGAAACACTACAATGTACCAACAGCCAAAGGACAATCCGTGATTTTGGCTTCTTGGGGCCGTTTTGGGAGTGCGGGCCATCCTGAGGCCATCTTGGGCGTGTTAGAACGATAACTCCGCGATAGTAGGCCTCCTGGAGGCCTCTCGCAAAGTAGGCCTCCTGGAGGCCTCTCGCGGCCCTTTTCATCTGTGGTGGGGCTGTCTTGGGCGGTCTGGAAGCGTCCCTGGCGCCCCGACAAACCCATGGCGCGTCGCCCCCCCCCCCCCGGTCCAGGGGTACATCGAATTACATATATATATATATATATATATATGTATATCTGAAACTATATGTATATACACGTATACATCTACATATGTCGATATCTGTGTCTTCGGGGGCCTCTTAGAAAGAGTTTTGAAACCTTTTGGGTGCCGTCTTGGGGCCTCTTGGAGCCTCTTTTAGGCTTCTTGGGGGCCTCTTGGGGCCTCTTGGAGGCCTTGGGGCCTCTTGGGGGCTTCCTGGGGGCCTCTTGGGGCCTCTTGGGGTCATCTTGGGACGGAGAGTTAGATTTTTACCTAACAGCGAAGACTGATAGGTTTCTAGTTGACTCAAAAGAGCTCACAGATCACTCCACAGGGGGGTCCGGGCAGGTGTTGGGGCGTTTCCGGGCGGCATGAGCCGGGCTCGTTTTTCACCAACAGTCACACACTTCGTGCTCTTCGCCTTCCCAGAACTCCATTCCCAGGCCACATTCTGGGGGGCCGGATGCAACAGTCACACACAAAGTGCTCTTCGACATCCCAGAACGCCATTCCCGGGCCACATTCTGGGGGGCCGGATGCAACAGTCACACACTTCGTGCTCTTCGAGTTCCCAGAACGCCATTCCCGGGCCACATTTTGGATGCCCGGAGCCAACTGTAGGCCACTTCGTGCTCTTCGATTTCCCAGAACTCCATTCCCGGGCCACATTTTGAATGCCCGGAGCCAACTGTAGGCCACTTCGTGCTCTTCGAGTTCCCAGAACTCCATTCCCGGGCCACATTTTGAATGCCCGTAGCCAACTGTAGGCAACTTCGTGCTCTTCGACTTCCCAAAACTCCCATTCCTGGGCTACATTTTCAGCAGGGGCAAGAGCACGACGAGGAGGAGGACGAGCAAGACCAGGAGGACGAGGACGAGCAGGAGCAGGACGAGGAGCAGGAGAAGCAGGAGAAGAAGGACGAGCAGGAGGAGGAGGAGGACGAGCAGGAGGAGGAGGACGACCAGGAGGAGGAGGACGACCAGGAGAGGAGGAGGAGGAGGAGGAGGGGAGGGGGAGGAGTACCAGGAGGAGGAGGAGGAGGAGGAGGAGGAGGAGGAGGAGGAGGAGGAGGAGGAGGAGGAGGAAGAGGAGGAGGAGGAGGAGATGAGGACGAGGAGGAGGAGGAGGAGGAGGAGGAGGAGGAGGAGGAGGAGGAGGGGGGG